GGCATGAGAGTTGCGTCAGGCAGTAACGTCCACAGCAGATGCTACTTTGATGCATCTGATTTGGACAAGTCAAACTAGCATCCGCTGAGGATGTATCCACTTTACAGTCCTGAGTGGGGTAAACTGGCCACTACTTTGGATGCATCCATATCATATTGAAATGGACCCATCCATGATGCATCTAGGGATGCTAAAAGGTTTTCCTGGGTTGCAATTTGATCATTTGAACTTTGACCCTAGTTCAGCAACAGATTATCTGCTCAAATTGCTGGGTAACATCTGTACAGGAAGCATTTGTAGAGATTGTTTAATTATGGTGAACTGATAATATGCTGAAGGTTGTTTTAGGTGGAAATTTAGAAATGTGTTCATTTGTGTAATAAACTCAGAAAATGAAAAATAAGAGAAAAATTTCAATTTTCATTTGATACACTGATAATTTACATATTTTTTTTGAAAATGCACTTTTCTCATTTGAAAAGTGACTTGACAATGTCAGCATGGACTTCATTATAGTGATGGTGTCAAATATTTCATGGAATCTATTATAGCTGATTGTTACTTGTTCCTATGTACATAATGATATGAGAAAATAGAACAAACTCCACAGAATTTGCTATGTACAAGTTGTATTCACAACAGACTGAATGGATTAGTGAATTTTATAATTTCCAACAGACACTGAGCTTGAAGGCTTTTGAGATTTAATCAAGCACATGTGCCAATGGTTTGCCTGTAATACAAATGACTGATACATGGTCAAAATTCAAACAGGACAGTGAAATTATACATCAGAATGTATGCCCCACAATTTGAGGAGCAAGTCAGAAACACCCTTCTCAAAAGAGAAATCATAGATGACTGGTTATGAATAAGGGGGAAATCCTGAGTCAAGGAAAATGGGGGTGGCAAATTTCTCCCAAGGACAGTAAACCAATTCCCCTTGACTGGCCCCCCAAAAAAGGGAGCAAACCAGCTTAAGTGGCTGCAGCTGCCTCAGGACCCCTCCCTTCTCAGAACCTCGGATAGAGAGAAAGTCAAGGGTCAAATTGCTGACACAGATGTGAGAGCCTTGCCCAGTTGGCATTGGTATTAATAACCAGTTAAACAGAAATACCTTGCATTGAGATAAATCCAAATTCACCACAAAATAAATCAAATAAAAGCAGTGGTGAGGATTCCCTTCAGAACAAACACAGATCTGAATAATATAAATCCAAATTCCAATCAGCTTGGGACACCAGCATTCTGAGCTTATTCAGATAATAATAAGTGCATATCAGTACCCCACAAAATATTCACAACTTATGGTACTGTAAAAAAGCCTGGAGGATACACCACAGGAAATGAACATCACTGCATGCATTGTGTCAGCAGCATCACACCAGGAGCCTCATGCCAGCAGTGCTGGGACAGCAGTGCTACACAACAGCACCACACCAGCAGCGCCACACAAACAGCACTGGGCCAGCAATGCTGCACTATTTTCTTAATGCAGCTTCTACAATTAGTCGAGTATCAATAAAAAATGATGGAGTTATGGATGTGAATAATAGATGACAGTGACTGTGCCAAAAAAAGTTCAGGTGCACAAAAACTATCTTTTTTTCTGTACTATTATGGATGCAGTGGCAATGGCGTTGCTTCTTCTAATCATCTGCAGAAAAGTGATCATTCCTTCTGACTGTTTTGTTCATCTGTGGATCATTTTGATTCATAGAATACACTGTGTCTTTCAGTTCAGGCTCAGAGGATTTACCTTCCAAAAAATTGCCTGCTCTCAACTTCCTGGATTTTACATTTCTGTTATTTTCCAATCAACAGATTTTGCAGGAGGCAGTGTGAACACTTTCAGGAAGGTTCTCCAACAATTCAGCGCAGATTTTAAAAATCTTGTAGGCAAATAATTTCAGCTGCTGAAATCAGAAAATTATATGTTTTCCAAGTAGAAAGCTTAAAAATGTCAATAATGTCACAACACTTTTATTTAAGCATAATGTTATGCAGTAGTTGATATATTGATCAGCAATTTATCATGCATTGACTCAGCACCATCAATACAATTTGAAGGTACCTCTTAACTTCCAGTGACATCTGTGTGGAAGTTTGATAATGCGTTTTTCCAAGTTTAGGCTGCACCATTTGGCCGTACACCTTTTGGGAAAATTTGGGAAAACATGAGAATAATCCTCATAAGCAACAATTTTTGGCTGATATTCTTACCAGCATATTTATGAATATGAGCAAAATTGATGCTGAAATGAAATGACATGATATTATTGCACTACTTTACTTCAATATTGTAAAAGGAAACTATAGGTAACCAACGTTGTGTGAACAGTCTTGTGATAATTTTTTAAAGTTTTAATTATAATGTGGAATGGACCACAGTGTACCAACAAGTGAAGTGGGGTTTCCCAAACGTCACTTGTTTCAGCCTAATGTACAAGTACATCTGCAGAAGTATTTTATATCTCCTCTTCAGAGGAATTTCAGGTTTTACCCTAGAAACAATTGTAAGCAAGGCCTCCCAACAAGTTGTAGAAAACTCACAAACATCTAGTCGGTTAAGAGAAAAATACATTAGTAGGGTTTCTCCTCATTAGAAACCCTACTATAAAATCACTGCCATTCATGACAAAGAACGGGCTTATTTTTAATTATTTTTTCTGAGTTCTTTCCATCATGGGTGAACTAAAAATTGTTGTGGTTATTTGCTTCATCTTGAATTTCTTTTCATTCCAAAAGATCAAATNGCTTTTGAGATTTAATCAAGCACATGTGCCAATGGTTTGCCTGTAATACAAATGACTGATACATGGTCAAAATTCAAACAGGACAGTGAAATTATACATCAGAATGTATGCCCCACAATTTGAGGAGAAAGTCAGAAACACCCTTCTCAAAAGAGAAATCGTGGATGACTGGTTCTGAATGAGGGGGAAATCCTGAGTCAAGGAAAATGGGGTTGGCAAAATTTCTCCCAAGGACAGTAAACCAATTCCCTTTGACTGGCCCCCCAAAAAAGGGAGCAAACCAGCTCAAGTGGCTGCAGCTGCCTCAGGACCCCTCCCTTCTCAGAACCTCTGATAGAGAGAAAGTCAAGCGTCAAATTGCTGACACAGATGCCTTGCCCAGTTGGCATTGGTATTACTAACCAGGTAAACATAAATGCCTTGCATTGAGATAAATCCAAATTCACCACAAAATAAATCAAATAAAAGCAGTGGTGAGGATTCCCTTCAGAACAAACACAGATCTAAATAATGTAAATCCAAATTCCAATCAGCTTGGGACACCAGCATTCTGAGCTTATTCAGATAATAATAAGTGCATATCAGTACCCCACAAAATATTCACAACTTATGGTACTGTAAAAAAGCCTGGAGGATACACCACAGGAAATGAACATCACTGCATGCATTGTGTCAGCAGCATCACACCAGGAGCCTCATGCCAGCAGTGCTGGGACAGCAGTGCTACACAACAGCACCACACCAGCAGCGCCACACAAACAGCAGTGGGCCAGCAATGCTGCACTATTTTCTTAATGCAGCTTCTACAATTAGTCCAGTATCAATAAAAAATGATGGAGTTATGGATGTGAATAATAGATGACAGTGACTGTGCCAATAAAAGTTCAGGTGCACAAAAACTATCTTTTTTTCTGTACTATTATGGATGCAGTGGCAATTGCGTTGCTTCTTCTAATCATCTGCAGAAAAGTGATCATTCCTTCTGACTGTTTTGTTCATCTGTGGATTACTTTGATTCATAGAATACACTGTGTCTTTCAGTTCAGGCTCAGAGGATTTACCTTCCAAAAAATTGCCTGCTCTCAACTTCCTGGATTTTACGTTTCTGTTATTTTCCAATCAACAGATTTTGCAGGAGGCAGTGTGAACACTTTCAGGAAGGTTCTCCAACAATTCAGCGCAGATTTTAAAAATCTTGTAGGCAAATAATTTTAGCTGCTGAAATCAGAAAATTATATGTTTTCCAAGTAGAAAGCTTAAAAATGTCAATGATGTCACAACACTTTCATTTAAGCATAATTTTATGCAGTAGTTGATATATTGATCAGCAATTTATCATGCATTTACTCAGCACCATTAATACAATTTGAAGGTACCTCTTAACTTCCAGCGACATCTGTGTGGAAGTTTGATAATGCGTTTTTCCAAGTTTAGGCTGCACCATTTGGCCGTACACCTTTTGGGAAAATTTGGGAAAACATGAGAATAATCCTCATAAGCAACAATTTTTGGCTGATATTCTTACCAGCATATTTATGAATATGAGCAAAATTGATGCTGAAATGAAATGACATGATATTATTGCACTACTTTACTTCAATATTGTAAAAGGAAACTATAGGTAACCAACGTTGTGTGAACAGTCTTGTGATAATTTTTTAAAGTTTTAATTATAATGTGGAATGGACCACAGTGTACCAACAAGTGAAGTGGGGTTTCCCAAACGTCACTTGTTTCAGCCTAATGTACAAGTACATCTGCAGAAGTATTTTATATCTCCTCTTCAGAGGAATTTCAGGTTTTACCCTAGAAACAATTGTAAGCAAGGCCTCCCAACAAGTTGTAGAAAACTCACAAACATCTAGTCGGTTAAGAGAAAAATACATTAGTAGGGTTTCTCCTCATTAGAAACCCTACTATAAAATCACTGCCATTCATCACAAAGAACGGGCTTATTTTTAATTATTTTTTCTGAGTTCTTTCCATCATGGGTGAACTAAAAATTGTTGTGGTTATTTGCTTCATCTTGAATTTCTTTTCATTCCAAAAGATCAAATTATATTTGTTTTTCTTCTGCACATGTCATTTTCTGTTTCTTGAATTTTAGGGAAAAATGCTTTTAAATTTTTGGGGACTTTATTCCTAATTTTTGATGAACCAATTACATAATTTCCCATTAAAGTCCATAAGAGCATGTGATCCAACATACAGAGGATCCAACATAGGATCAAAGTCCAGGATCAATATGTTGCAATTTTGGGACCCCAGTGTCAGTTTTTATTCCACTCCACAGACTCCCAAAAACTCAAATTTTTCAATTAATATTGCCACACCTGTAGGTTTTAAGTTTGAGACAATTTGGAAGAGTTCGAAATAGCCACAAAGAAAAGTTTGGAAATGAAAGAAAAAGTCAAAGAAGCAGCAGACTATGTTGTAATTGGGTTCCTGGAAAAAAACTTCATCAGCCCCGAAAAAAATATGATGCCAGTGTTCTGCTGTGTATATATGTACATGACTTTTAGTTGTAAGTTGATCATATGGTATTTGTTGTATTGTATTTTCTTTATAGAAATATTACATATTTTTAAAACAGTGTCGGATGTCAACCAGAGAAAAAAATCTTCTTCTCTTCTCGTCCATTCGAAAGGGATGCCAAAAGCTGAACCTCTCTGTCCAATCTTGCCGCAATTGCTGCCTGAGCCCTGAGCAATTTCCTGTTGGCATTCTGCTCCAGCATCTTTTGTCTGGCCTGTTTCGCCTTGATTTTCAACATGGCGTTTTGCAATTTCCTTTGTCGCAAACGAGCAGATTTCGCCCTGCTCGCCATAACTCGCGATTTCTTCTCCTTGCGAATATTTACATTGAGAGAGGCGTAATTATCGGGTTTCTCTTCAACGAGTTCTGGTTCTGGTTCTGGACGTGTTGACTCTTGTTCTGTCGTTTCCATCAAACGCTTGTTTTTACTTTCTTTGGACACCTTCTTCCGGTTTTTCTTGTTTTTCTTCTTCTTCTTCCGGATGGTCGGCGGTGCTGGTGTCGTGGACGATGGTTCTTCTGGATTCAGCGTGGGTATTTTCACCTTTTGGTAGACTTCGCTGATCTCCTCGTCCAAGGTTCTCGCTGGAATTTAAAAGCAAAAAATATATTGTATATACTGTACGTTGAATGAAACAGTGTTCCAAAATTTCTTTGGGTCCCTGGACCAGCTGAACTTCAGTATTTTTTTTCGACCAGCGAATTTCCAAAGGGTTTTCTGCGGATTGGCAAAGTCTCGCACTCGAAAAAAATTTTCTTGAAAGGAATTTTTCACAGATACTTAAAAATGTCAAGCATTTTTTCAAAATTCAAGTTCTGATGAAACAGCAGCTAATGGGACTTCTTCAAAAAGTTAGAAAGGTGACTTTGAAGAAAGGTTTCCAAGAAAAAAAGTTGAAATATTTCATCTCAGCAGGTGAAAATTGTCTGAAGTTTGATTACAAGAAGAAACAACTTTTATTTTTCATCAGATAATTTCAACTGCTATATTGTCTTTTCTGGAATTTTAGATGAATATATCAGACTTCATTGCTACTTTTGATAAATTTATTATGCTGAAGAGAATTTCCCCGGGGTTGTCAAAAAAATGTCTGCCTACCAGCGCCAGTCCACAGGTTGGTAACAGCACTGACCTGAAAGATCCAGTGATTGTTTGGGCAGAATTTACCAGACCAATTCATTTAAAATTTGGATAAGAAACGAAAAAGAAATCCACGATACCTTTGGTGTAGTTTGAAGCTAAAATTCCAGGTTTATAAGGTTGTAATAAAATAATTTTTGAATCAATCCCGTTTGAAATTTTTTTAGCATTTGGTGCTAGATTTTTCAGTTTCAAAACCGTTTTCTTGTCATTCGTCACTTGGTTTGTCGTTTTGCGAGATTCAATTTCTGCAAACGACGAGTTGCCATTTGGTGAAATTGCGAATATATATATATATAGTTATTGATCAGTTCCGGATAAAAGCAACTGTACCTGTTTGATTGTCCGAATTTATTGATCCGAGTTGTTTCCGAATTTGGGAATCTCCATTTATCACGACAATTATTTCTAAAAGTTTTTCAGGAGTTTCTCGTGGCTTTTTGGACTTTTTTGCAGGACTTTTTGTCCTTGTAACAGTTGCGGACGTGCTGGTTAAGCGATTTTCATGTCCTGAATATTTCGGTTCTTTCGCAGACTTTTTTGAAACCGATTTCTCAGTTTCTTTGTAAACTGAATCATCTATGGTTTCCAAACATTTATTTTCGAATACATCAAAATTTGCTGGCGATCTCGCAACTCGTTGGATGTTTTTTACACCTGTAGGAATGTCGATGAATGTTATTATATTTGTCTTTCTTACTCTTGGATTTTGGAAAATGATGACTGATGTGAATCTGCTTTTGAGTCTGGATGTTCCTGGGTATTGGGGCAAATTGAGGGTTGTAATTTAAGAGAACCTCATTAAAATTCTGATAATACCAAGCAAGATTTTTCATAAATTTATTACCTACATTAGGTTTCAAGGTTGGAATTTAGAAAAATCTGATCAAATTGGTGTGAACTTTGGAATATATACCATAAAATATTTCTACAGCAATGACCTCATGGGACTTGAAAAACATTTTTCATATAACACACAATCAATCATAACAAAAATTCCAAATTATGTCTGCAAAGATACAGTAGTTTCAAGTTTAACCTGCATATGTTCAATAAGTTCTTTCTTTCCTGGCCTTCTTACAAGATATTCTAACATGTTTCAAAAGCAGTGATAATCAAAAAGTTCAAATGTCAATGATGTGCCAGATAATATATTTAATTGGGTGCATTATCTGTGTCTTAAAGCTGTTGTAAATATTATTCTATAGGTGAAAAGCATTGAAAAATAAAGAAATTTGAAAGAAAACAAGCAGAGCAGAATTTCAGGTAAGATAAATTTGGATTTTGTTGGCCTCTACCCTTTACATCTACTATGGAAAAATATGAATGTGCAAAGAAGTGCCAGAAAACAAAGGCTGATGAATATTCCCTCTGAACAACAGGTGAATGCTAGCACATTTTGTAAGCTTCCAATTTCCTGAATGTATCTGCACTGATTTCTGTAATAACAAATGCAATGTTTTCTACAATGAATGAAATTTTGATTTTCATTGCAGGTCAAAATTTGAGGCAAGAGCTTGAATTGGAAGTTGATGTCCCAGCATATTCAACTTTCAAATTGTTGGATGGTCAAATTGCAAGATATTACCATTACCAATACACTCCACTTCACTATAATATTGACAAATTTGGGAGCATCAATACTGTTTGTTTGTGGAGATTGTGAAGCAGCATGCTTACTTAAGGATTTATGCAAAATTCTTACTTTTATTTGTCCTGTCTTTAGATTCTGAGCTGTCCTGTGCATCTTGATCAAGAACCTGTTGTCCTTCATCATCAGCTGTTGTTGTATCATTTCCTTCTTTGCTTTCAGACTCTTGNACTTTTTTGAAACCGATTTCTCAGTTTCTTTGTAAACTGAATCATCTATGGTTTCCAAACATTTATTTTCGAATACATCAAAATTTGCTGGCGATCTCGCAACTCGTTGGATGTTTTTTACACCTGTGGGAATGTCGATGAATGTTATTATATTTGTCTTTCTTACTCTTGGATTTTGGAAAATGATGACTGATGTGATTCTGCTTTTGAGTCTGAATGTTCCTGGGTATTGGGGAAAATTGAGTGTTGTAATTTAAGAGAGCCTCATTATTATTCTGTTAACACCAATCAAGATTTTTCATAAATTTATTACCTATACATAATCAAGGTTAGAATTTAGAAAAATCTGATCAAACTGGTGTGAACCTTGGAATATATAACATAAAATATTTCTACAGCAACGACCTCGTGGGACTTGAAAAACATTTTTCATATAACACACAATCTATCATAACAAAAATTCCAAATTATGTCTGCAAAGATAGTTTCAAGTTTAACCTGCATATGTTCAATAAGTTCTTTCTTTCCTGGCCTTCTTAAAAGATATTTTTAGCATGTTTCAAAAGCAGTGATAATCAAAAAGTGCAAATGTCAATGGTGCGCCATATAATATATTCAATTGAGTGCATTATCTGTGTCTCAAAGCTGTTTAAAATATTATTCTGAAGGTGAAAAACATTGAAGAATAAAGAAATTTAAAAGAAAACAGACAGAGCAGAATTTCAGGTAAGATAAATTTGAATTTTGTTGGCCTCTAACCTTTACATCTACTATGGAAAAATATGATTGCGCAAAGAAGTGCCAGAAAACAAAGGCTGATGAATATTCCCTCTGAACAACAGGTGAATACTAGCACATTTTGTAAGCTTCCAATTTCCTGAATGTTTCTGCACTGATTTCTGTAATAACAAATGCAATGTTTCCTACAATGAATGAAATTTTGATTTTCATTGCAGGTCAAAATTTGAGGCAAGAGCTTGAATTTGAAGTTGATGTCCCAGCATATTCAACTTTAAAATTGTTGGATGGTCAAATTGCAAGATATCACCATTACCAATTTAGTCCACTCCACTATAATATTGACAAATTTGGGAGCATCAATAATGTTTGTTTGTGGAGATTGTGAAGCAGCATGCTTACTTAAGGATTTATGCAAAATTCTTACTTTTATTTGTCCTGTCTTTAGATTCTGAGCTGTCCTGTGCATCTTGATCAAGAACCTGTTGTCCTTCATCATCAGCTGTTGTTGTATCATTTCCTTCTTTGCTTTCAGACTCTTGAGTAATTGTATTTTGATCTGCTTTGTCTCCTGTCTCAGGCCCTGACTTTATGGTTGTGGTTGTTTCTTCCACCTCTTGTTCTGTTTGTGGCTCCCACTTTATGCTTGGTTCTTCTTCTTGTTTGTTATCTGGCTGACAATGAGAACGAAGAAGAAGAACAAATTAAAGACCGAGACAATGAGAACGAAGAAGAAGAACAAATTAAAGACCGAGACAATGTGAACACAGAAGGACGACAAATAAAAGACCGAGACAATGTGAGGTGTCTTCCTCCTCTTTATTGTCTGGCTCAGTTACACTTGTGTCTTCCTCTGGTTCGTTGCCTGGCTCTGTTACACATGTTTCTTGCACTTGGCCTTCCTCTGACACTGCTGTCTCAGCACTAATTGTAGTTTCTTGGTTATTTGATGTGCTATTTGAGTTTTCTTCTACTTTGGGTTCTCCTTCTGTTACTGCTGTGGTAGTTGAGTTTTTATTGTCTTGGTTACCTGCATGATTTGCAGCTTGTGTGCTTCCCTTGGTCACTGATGCAGCCATTTCCTCTTCAGGTTTTGAGGGACTGGAATCTTCAGTTGTAGGAGTTACAGGACTCTGTGCAGTCTTTTCAAAAGTAAAGACATAAAGTTGTAAGTACAAGACTCAATGTTCAAAACAGATTGTTTTGGACAAACCTTTGGTTTATTCTTTGGCTTTTTGGGCTTTGGATCTGCGCCAATCTTCTGGAGAACACTGGTAACCTTACCTTGATCTGAAACTGAGTTAAATAAACTTGACTTCATGAAATGTTCAATCAATGAATGAAAAAAATGAAATTCATGTCCCAAAGTTTGATTGGAATATGCATCATACACCATAAGGAATCCATTTATTCCAATTTATATTCCAAAAATAATTATAGTGTGTCTTACTCAAGTCATGCTGGGTAAATGGTACTAAACTATTATAAGCATATGTGACCAAATCATATGTCAATCAACACCATTTGTGATGACAGTATTGACTGAATGAATAATTTGTTCTCCAAAAAGGCTTTTTTGTATCAAGCACAGTTGGAACATGAAAATCTCCTATTCTTTGCATGTGAGGTTTGGGGCAGTTTAATGGGATTGGTGATTTATCAGATAAGCTGAAATACTGTGAAAATTGAGTTGAATATTAAAATGAATATTTTTATTCTAGAAAATCATCAAGATGAGCCTTGAATGGATAAATTATACCCAGCTGATGTTCCAAGAAGAAAGCTTTGTCATCTTTGTGTCTGTACATTTTTGGGAGGACTATTGCAGAAAATTAAATCTTCTTGGTGGGGTACTAATCCTCAGGTGCATGGCACTGCATGGTTCATTTACAAAATTTTTTTCCTCAGCAGGTAAAATGAAAAAATACATAACATTAGCAAAAGAGCCAAAGTCAAGAAAAATAAAGCAATTTTTTTACTTTGAAATTTTCCTCAAACAAGCATTTCTGCAGGGTGCCATTTATCAACATTCCTGCCATATAGTATCAAAATTGAGGGATTTGGAAAATAATGGTTTTCACTATCCCAGCTTTTTCTGGACTTTGGCTATACTCAGCCAAAACTGTGTTTTGGTGTCCTTTGGTCAAACCAAAATGCACAAGAGTGTGTGCAAAAATTTCCTGGCACTTCCACATAATGAAAACTGACCTGCTGCCATCCAAGGGCTGGACACAAAATTAATGGGCAGGGGCAATTTTGAATTGTTGACACTTTTGGTGTATGGCATTTTAAGGGGGGTTCCAAAGCCTTCATCATCAGCCAAGACATGTTTTTTGAAATTGAAGTTCTAATGTTTTTTTTAAGGCTATGGCTCCACCTGGTGGAGGTTTGACTGCACATTCTACATGTGTAACATTCCTTCTAATGCTGTAATATGACAAACCTCCAAGAACAGATACATGAACACCTCCTCTTGAACTTCCTTGTCCAGAATCTCCTCCTTCAGACTCTGCTTTGCGAGGCCTGAACTGAATCTGACGACCAGCAGTGATGCAAGTGGGATCCCTCTGCAGATCCTTGCCCGAGGATCCTCCAAATAAGCTGGATGTCTGATATTTCCTTTTTATTATTTCTGCCTGGTTCTTCGCTGAGTTCGACTGCATGATTTGTCGCTTCATACGCAGTGTTTTGAATCGCTTTTGATTCATGCTGATTTGCATCCTCAGGAATTTCTTCGGCGGTTGGAAAAGCCCGTCTGTCAATAATTGTAATTGTGCGATTTTTTTGTTTCTGTTTCTTCGAATGTTTTCCAGGATAGCATCAGTTTCTCGTCTGTTCTGCTGCACTGTCAATGTCAAATAATCCGCTAAGGCATCTTTAAATGCGTTATAATATATTCTCTTCAGAACGTGATATCGGGATAATAACTGATGCTGAATATTGTAAATACTGTAGTACTTTAAAGTTCATTCGATCCACTATTAGAACGATGACGAAACAGTCGATTTAAATTTCTAGACTTGATCGCATATCGTCTTGGATCATACAATTCTAGGTAAGAATCCAAACTGATGTATACATTTTTACGGTTTGGCGTATTTCGAGGATCAATAACAGGAATATTAGAGGACCTGTGATTATCATTGCGAAATTTTTGCACTCCGATGGTCGAAGATTCCTTAGTCTCTCTGAAATTTTTCTCGAGCACGTTATTAACCTCTACCTCCTTGAGTAAGTTGACGATCTTTTGATTAATATTCATCAGCTTTTCTTTGATATCAGAATTGTAAGCCTTTTTCAGTACGATGGGTTGTGCCTCCGGCGCTTTCGGTTGACACCGGCGACATCTAGGGTGTGTGAAGTAAGTGAGTGGAGCGTGAGGTTCAAGTAGTTCTACGTAGGGGTTGTAGTAGGGACAGTGTTCTGATGGGAAAGTTTGCGTCAAAAGGGCGTCTTGGTACGGGAATCTGGGATGATAAGTGATTTTAGATGGTTTTGTTGGGCTTTTGTAAAACTCAAACATTTGACACCCACCTAAAAACACCCCCTGCAGCAAATAACGGGAGTCCTCCAAATACTAGGTGCGACCCTGACCGCCCAGTAGAAGACCTTACCCACCTTTCTTCTCTTGTAGTATAGGGAATATTTTATTGTCAGAGAAGTTATTTGACTTGTGGATATGATGAATAAATTCTTTCCACATGTCCAAAATGTAGATGAATAATTTTGATCACGTGTAATTGAAAAACACATCATTAATATGGCGTTAATCTTTCAATTATTGTGAGCTTCATCAGAACATTTTACAAAATAATCCGAAAAATTCTAATGCGTCATAAATTATGGCAAATCCCACCTTTCAAAACAAAGAGGGAGAATTCAATCTTTTTTTAGAATAACTCACGAATCGGCCCTTAAAAATTTTTTTTTTGGGGTTGCAAGGTTCCTTCGGCCGTTATGAAATGCGATTTTAAATACAATCAATTGAAATATCCATTATTTCAGACTGATTTGAAAGCTGACCAATTTTTATTCTGAAAACAAAGACGTGCAGTTAGAAGCAAATTTTTCCTCAACTATAACGTCATAGGATCGAAATTAATCTGAAAAGACTTTTTTTGTGAGGGAAGCAAATTTAAAAATACGCATATACTGTATAGTCTTACCAATTTTTATTCTGAATCTGACTTTCATTAACGTATCGCTTCCGGGAAGGAAATGATTTTAAAAATGGCAAATCGAAGAAATCTTGTCTAAATATTCACCACACAAGAATGATTTCACACACTCTTGTAGAAAACCATTTAAGGTTTCAATGTTCCTGGATGAAAGATAAAATGTTTAATTTTAAATTTATTAAGTAAAAATACAGTATCTCGTCTACTCAAGTGATTTTAAAGGAAACCAATCTGTAAATTTTGACAAGACGAGCAATACTGACCGATTTTTTCTGTCATTGACTTTTCCGGACATGATTCCGGAAAGATTTTCTTGGCAAAAGCAATACACTTGAAAAAAGTAGTCCTTCCTACCACATATTTTTTCGACACTGATTTTTGCCTGTATCGCCTCCAGGTAAGGGATAATTAAAAAATTGAATTCATAAGCTAATGTTCTGAGTAACCAGAGCATTTAAAAAAAATTTAGGGGCTAGATTTTATTGAACGTTGAAAAATTCAAGTGTAAATACAATTCTTCCAAATATACGCCGTTCTCGAGTGATATGAAAGAAGACCTACTTTTTTTTTTTAAGAAGTGCAAGCAGTGCTTGAAATTCTTTTTCAATGTCTTTTCCGTACATGGTTCCAGAAATTTTAATAAAAAAATATTCCTTCTGTAAACTTCCTTCTTTTCCCCAAAGTAGTCAAAAAAGACTGTGACTAAAAGCGAATAAGGTAAAAGCGGTGAAGGTGTTTCTGCTTAACTAAGCTTTTTCTCCTACGTACGAAATGTTTTCTAAATATTCACAATATAAAAAAAATGTTTGGGGTCCACTATTTCTTTGCATGTTAAAAAGTCGACTTTTGAAGTGAAATTTGTTCAAATATCCAAACTTCTCGACTAATTTGAAAACATGCCGATTTTGCTTTCGTAAAAATACTTGCAATAATCTACTCCACATTTTAAAAATGTATTTCCAGAAATTATTCCGGCAAAAATCTGCAGAGGATGAGGAATTTAAAAAAAAAGAAAAATACAGCTATAGCAGTTTTTTCTGAAACTGATTTTCAAGTTGTACAGAGAAGTTCCCCTCTTTACTAAGTTTTTACCCTAAAGTATCTTGAAAATTTTTATTTAAGTGCTCTGAATAGGTTTTTTTTTTCAGTCCAGGCCTTAAGGGACTTATTTTATTTTAAATAACGACAATTTATCCGAATTTTTACGCTTAACGACTAATTCGAAAGCTGCCTGATTTTTATGCATTAAATCACGTGCTGGACTTCTAGTTTTTTTTCTCTCATCTCAATGACAATATCTGAAAGTAATCTTGCATATTTAGAAGAGGAATAAATTTGAAATAACAGACCAGTCTTACCAGATTTTTTCTGGCACAAATTCTCATCGACGTATCGCTTCAAGGGGCGAAATGCTTCATAAATTTCCGCTTCCCGTTTGTGAATCTTCTTCCTTTCCAACAAATTACTGCTTCTTTTCGGGAAGTTCACTGTTGCGGGGTTCGGATCCAGGAACAATTTTCTATACGCATACTGCGATAATTCTAAATTGATTCCCAATGAAGAAGAACAACAACCGTAGAATTGATTGAAATACAATAATTCAACAAAAAAAAACTCAGCTAAATAATCTTTAGTTTTTTTAGCAGTTTTCATCTGTCTGGAAATTTTATTCCAAAAACTCTAAAATAAGCTATCTTCTTTATCTATTCCAGCAGATATTTTTTTCTGAGGGAGTTGCATCTTTAAAAAACATTTTCTATATCAAGGGAAATATAATCAAATATCTTGTAAAATACAGTCAATAATCTAATTTTTTTTAAATATCTGAGGACTTCAGAATTATTATTTTTCATTTACTTGGGTCGAACAAGGTGCGATCCGCAGTCAGAACCCCACCAGCAGCGAAACCCGCCGTCAGCACCAGAACCAGAACCCCTCCGCGGAACCCAGCGAATTTCACGCACGAAATCCGATCCATAATCACGCCGAAATATCTTATCCACCCTGTAAAAAAAAGACCCCGACGAAAAAGTACATCGTTCACGAGGATTTTTTGGGTGAACAAACTCGTTATTTCGAGGATGAAAATGAGAAATCCGTGTGGATGATGTTGAAGCACCATTGAGCAGCAGCAGCTGCTGTAAATACATAATGTCAATAAAACACTTGACAACAATGCGTCGTTTGTTCCGAAAAGTTTCTCCCTTTTTTTTCTGCAGTTCTCAAAGAAAAAAAAATTAAATGAAAAAATAAAACAGAGCAGTGGGATGAATAAAACGCTTTCCGGCAATGAAGGTCGGGGCCAAAGGAATCAACCAGTTTATTGTTGTGGATCAAAGTTCCAAGTGGTCAACAGGCCGGCTTTTCATCCAAGTCAGAGAAGAATAAGAGGAGGAAAACATGGTTTTCTGCTTGAAAAAAAAAATAAAGATGGCATTTATTTNCATGGTTTTCTGCTTGAAAAAAAAATAAAGATGGCATTTATTTGCTTATGCTGTTCTCATCATCAGTTGGGGGGATTCTGTGATGCTTCACAAATGTTGGATCTTTCCCATGATGCAAAAAAAAAAAAAATTGTTCCATCCTCAAATGAATGAGACTGGGTTTTACTTTTTGCATTCATCATCAGTCGTGAAATTGGAAATAAAATTCCATATTTCTCTCACTTGGGAGTGAAATTGATTGAAAGATAATCATTTCGGAGCAATTCAGCAAAATACTTCATGGCTTGGAATTTTCTCCGCTAATTTGTTTTTATCAGGGTTATTTATTTGTTTATTCTCACCAGTTGAGGGATGATTCTATACTTTACAAATGTTGGTTCTTTCTCACTCAAAATGTATTTTCTCTTCAAATAATGAGGAGACTTCGTTATTCTTCTGCATTTAATCGGTCGTTTTTTCCTTTTGCAATCATATTTTTCGTTTTGCTTTCATCAGCCTTGAACTTGGAAATATTGAATATCGCAACTCGGAGTGAAATCGATTGAACGGTATATTTTAATTTCGGAACAACTCGGTAGAAAAATTCATGACGTCGGTTTCCCTGCTGTTGGATTCATCAGTCTTGAAGTTGGAACATCTGGGAGTGAAT